CAGATATGCAGATGACACCACCCTTATGGCATAAAGTGAAGGACAACTAAAAAGCCTCTTGATGAAAGTGAAAGAGGAGAGAGAAAAAGTTGACTGAAAGCTCAACATGCAGAAAACTAAGATCATGGCCTCTGGTCCCATCACTTCATGGCAAATAGATGGGGAAACAGTGGAAGCAGTGGCTGACTTTATTTTTCTGGGCTCCAAAATCACTGCAGATGGTGACTGCAGCCATGAAATTAAAAGGTGCTTGCTCCTTGGAAGAAAAGTTATGACCAACCTAGACAGCATATTAAAAAGCAGAGACATTAATTTACCAATAAAGGTCTGTCTAGTCAAAGCTATGGTTTTTCCAGTGATCATGTATGGATGTGAGTGTTGGACTATAAAGAAAGCTGAGTGCCAAAGAATTGATGCTTTTGAACTGTGGTGTTGGAGAAGAATCTTGAGAGTCCCTTGGACTGCAAGGAGATCCAACCAGTCCGTCCTAAAGGAAATCAGTCCTGAATGAGGACGACAGAGGATGAGATGGTTGGATGGCATCACCGACTCAATGGACATGAGTTTCAGTAAACTCTGGGAGTTGCTGATGGACAGGGAGGCCTGGCATGCTGCAGTCCATAGGGTCGAAAAGAGTCAGACATGACTGAGTGACTGAACTGAACTGAGCTGAACTGAGTGGTAAAGAACCCGTCTGCCAGTGCAGGAGATGTAAGAGAATCGGGTTCAATCCCTGGCTCAGAAAGATTCCCTGGAGGAGGGCATGACAACCCACTCCAGTATTCTTGCTTGGAGAATCCCATGGATGGAGGAGCTTAGGGGGCTATAGTCCACAGGGTTGCACAAAGTCGGACACAACTGAAGTGACTTAACACACACACAACACACACACATGAAGAGTTGGTGCTAATTCTTCTTTAAATATTTGGTTTAATTCACTAGCAAGTCCATCTGGACCTGAAACATTCTCCCACAGATATATTTTAACTACACTTCAAATTTCATTAATATATAGAGAGCTATTTGGGTTATGTACTTCTGTTCCTTGTCCTTCTCATTTTTCCTCCTCTTTCTTTTACTTAGAAATAAAGTGAAGGAAACATCAAAGAAAGAGTCAAAAGGAAGAGATGCATAGGGCAAGGTATGCGGGAAGCAACATGGAGCCTCCATGTCCTTTTCAGGTGTGTGAACCTCCCAGAACCTTGAAGTGTTAGCCAACCTGGGAGTTCCCCAAACTGTTTTGTTTAGCGACTTTTATAGAGGTTCCAGGGCTTCCCTGGTGCCTCAAATGGTAAAGCGTCTGCCTGCAGTGTGGGAGACCCAGGTTCGATCCCTGGGTCAGGAAGATCCCCTGGAGAAAGAAGTGGCACTCCACTTCAGTGGCACACCCACGCCAGTACTCTTGCCTGGAATATTCCATGGATGGAGGAGCCTGGTAGGCTAGAGTCCATGGGGGTCGAAAAGAGTCAGACACGACTGAACAACTTTACTTTCACTTTCATAGTTTCCATTACATAGGCACGACTGATTAAATCATTGGTCACTGGTGAGTTACTCAGTCTTCAGCCCTCTCACCCCTCTCCAAAAGTGGAGTGGGAGGCTGAAAGTTCTAACCTTCTAACCACATGGTTGGCTCCTCTGGCAACCAGCCTCCTTGCTGAAGCTTATATAACAGTCTACCAAGAGTTAACATAAGCTCAGGTGTAACTGAAAAGTATTTCTTCTTGGGTGAGCTTTGGTAGTTTGTGTCTTTCATAGAATCTGTCTATTTCATTAAAGTTGTCACATTTATTGGCATACATTGTTCATACTACTTTCTTTTATTTTTTGTCCCTAGAATCTGTTGTTATGTCACCTTTCCCCTACCTGATATCAGCTATTTTTCTCTTTTCTGCTTTTGTTTTCATTTGTCTGGCTAGGTTTGTCAATTTTATTGCTATTCTCAAAGAATCCCCGTTTGGGCTCATTGATTTTATCTATTGTTGTTCAATTTTTTATTTTATTGATATTATTTGGTCTTTATTATTTTCTTTCAACTACTTGTTGGAGTTTAACTGGCTTTTCTTTTTATAGATTCTTAAAAGAGAAGCTAAGGTCATTGCTTGAAGGTATTTCTTCTTTTCAAATACAGGTGTTGAGCAAAATAAATTTTCCCTCTACATAGTGCTTTAGTATCGTCACATAACTTCTATTGTGTTTTCATTTTTATTTGGTTTAAAATTTATTGTAATTTCTCTTTAATTTCTTCTTTGACCCATTAGTTATTTAGGCGTGCATCATTTAGTTCCCAAGTATTTGGGGATTTTTCCTGACATGTTTGTCTTATTGACTTCAAATTTAATACCATTGTGGTCAGAGAATAAAGTTTGCATAACTTGAAGCCTTCTAAATTTATTCAGACTTGCTTTATGACCAGAATATTATATCTATCTTGATAAATGTCACATGTGAACTTGAAAAGAATGTAAATTCTCATGTTACTGGGATTATTCTATAAATGTCAACTAGATTAATTGAATTGATATTAGAGTTCATATTTTCTATATATTTACTGATTTTTCTATTTGTTTTATTCACTTATCAAAATAAGGATATTGAAATCTCTATGACTGTGGATTTGTCTGCTTCTCCTTGCAGTCCTTTCAGTTTTTGTTTAATATAGTTTGAAGCTCTGCTATTAGGAGCAAAATGTTAAGGAATTTTTCTTCTTTGGATTAATTGACAATTTTATTATTATGAAATGACTTCTTTAGCTTTCATAGTATTCTTTCCTTTGAAAATTCCTTTTTCTGATGTGAATACAGCCACTCTAGCCTATGGCTAACTCCATCACTCTTTTAGTACAGGGGCAAAACTCAAATGAGGGACCCTCTACCTAGGGAAGTAAATGGAATGAAATTGATCACCAAGTGTCTCCACCAAGAAGCTGGAAGCTTGTTACAGCTGTTCACAAAAAGAATTCCACCAGTGTCCCTCAGGAAGGTAAGGTGTATTTCTCCAGAAGGCTTCTTTAGAAGGAAAAGAGTTAGGACACTATCAATTCCAATGGTAAAATAAAATATACAAGCAGCTCCTGCAGCTCAATTCCAGAAAAATAAATGATGCTATCAAAAAATGGGCCAAGGATCTAAACAGACATTTCTCCAAAGAAGACATATAGATGGCTAACAAACACATGGAAAGATGGTCAACATCACTCATTATCAGAGAAATGCAAATCAAAACCACAACGAGGTACCATTACATGCCAGTCAGAATGGCTCCTATCCAAAAGTCTACAAGCAATAAATGCTGGAGAGGGTGTGGAGAAAAGGGAACCCTCTTACACTGTTGGTGGGAATGCAAACTAGTACAGCCACTATGGAGAACAGTGTGGAGATTCCTTAAAAAACTGGAAACAGAACTGCCATATGACCCAGCAATCCCACTCCTGGGCATACACACCGAGGCAACTAGATCTGAAATAGACACATGCACCTCAATGTTCATCGCAGCACTGTTTATAATTGCCAGGACATGGAAGCAACCTAGATGTCCATCATCAGACGAATGGATAAGGAAGCTGTGGTACATATACACCATGGAATATTACTCAGCCATTAAAAAGAATTCATTTGAATCAGTTATAATGAGATGGATGAAACTGGAGCCCATTATACAGAGTGAAGTAAGCCAGAAAGATAAAGACCATTACAGTATACTAACGCATATATATGGAATTTAGAAAGGTGGTAATGATAACCCTATATGCAAAACAGAAAAAGAGACACAGATGTATAGAACAGACTTTGGACTCAGTGGGAGAAGGCGAGGGTGGGATGTTCTGAGAGAATAGCATTGAAACAAGTATACTATCAAGGGTGAAACAGATCACCATCCCAGGTTGGATGCATGAGACAAGTGCTCAGGGCTGGTGCACTGGGAAGACCCAGAGGGATGGGATGGAGAGGGGGGTGGGAGGGGGGGATCGGGATGGGGGACACATGTAAATCCATGACAGATTCATGTCAATGTATGGCAAAAACCACTACAATATTGTAAAGTAATTAGCCTCCAACTAATAAAAATAAATGAAAAAAAAGTGATAAAAGTGTCCTGCAGGTAAGGATACATGTTGAGAAGAACTTTTTAATGTAAGTAACACATTCATCTGGTTAATCCAAGCCCCTCCCTGCATCCATTCTTCACTTTTAGGTTGTAGTTTTTTTTGCATGCAAACACCCAGCACAACTTGCAGCTTGTATGATCAGCCTCTTCCTCCCTAAACTGTTAGAACCTAAGCCTGGGTAGCACACCTATTGAGATGAGCAAGACCTCCCACATTTGAAACAAAATTGGGCCACCCAACAGAGCAAGTTTATTCACTGAAGTCTTGACAGCCTGAAGGCAGTGATTTAAGACTGGAAAACAGAAAACTGAGGAGAGTTGTATAGACACTGGGGAAAAAAGGTAGGATGAAACATTTCCTTGGTTGTAGCCAGGAAGTGAGTGGGTCTTCAAAGTGTGTAGAGGTATTTGTAGAAGGGAAATGAGATAATTCCCATCCACACAGACTTAAATATAGTTATGTTACCCTGGATGAATTGAAGGTAAGACATACCAAAAACCCTTACAAGGTTGAAGGGTAAGAGAAACCAGAGAATACCACTGAACAGGGCGGTTCTGGGGAAATGTTTGGAGGAGACACCCTCTCCCTGCCATGTAATCCACCAGACTTGACATGGGGAGATGAGGAGGGTGATAGGTCAGTTTCAAGGGCCATTTAAGAGTGTTAAAAATGACCCCTTTCTCCCACCAGTGATTTGGCCTTGCCAGCATCTCCCCCTCCTCCATGAATGTGTCAGGATGGTGCTTTGTGATTTGTAAGCCCTCCAAGGCTACCATTGGCTGGAACAGAGCCTTGCTGACCAAACAAAGCCTAAGGGTGTGGCCCTTCCTTGTCCTGGGAGGGGCATATATGGACAGATCAGGAAGACTGGTGGAGCATTGGGAGCACCAATATGGAGACGGAGACCTGGAAATCACAAACGCCTACCACTTCTATAGAACAGCAGACTTCAAACACCAAAGCAGGGAAGAAGAGGATACCCTCTGAGTATAGGCCTGGAGGCAGTGTGAAGGTGAGATGACCCACTCAAAATCCTCATCCTCTTCCCCAATAACATGCCCACAAGAGTCTTACCCTGGCCTTAACTGGCATGCCCCTCCTGAGTCTGCAGTCCTTTTCTCAAAGCCCTTGTTCTCATCTATCTCCTACCCTCTCCCCCAAAACCATGGCCCCTCTGTGCTGATTGTATTGTCTTTCCAGAAGGCCAACAGAATCATGCAAGTGAAAAGATGCCATCAAGGGAATGTGAGCAGAAGACGCTTTCTGAAAACTCTCATTCCTTCAATTAAATCCAAGAAAGCTAGAGGGCCAGCACTAACCAACTGCCATCCCAGGATGAATGAGACACGGACTGAAAACCAAACTGAACCAAAGGAAAATAACAGACTGTGAAGAAACCCACAATTTCCAATGATGACCAGGGCAAGCAGAATTTGGGAGTGGTGGCGGAGACCACAGAAATCCCTGCAGAATCTTTAAAGTCTAGCTCATGAGAAATGGCTAGTTACTTATTGAAACTAGGCATCAATATAGTACACTCATGGTTATGAGATAAATAAAAACCTGTTGTTGAAAATTTGTGTCTGTCTTTGTAAGCTCTCTGATGGTCAAGAGGGAAGAAGGGGAGAGGCAGGGGTGTGAGACAAACAAAGGTGGGGCTCTCCACGAACCTATGGTCACCTTATCTTCAACAAAGGAGGCAAGGATATACAATGGAAAAAAGACAACCTCTTTTAACAAGTGGTGCTGGGAAAACTGGTCAACCACCTGTAAAAGAATGAAACTAGAACACTTTCTAACACCATACACAAAAATAAACTCAAAATGGATTAAAGATCTAAACATAAGACCAGAAACTATAAAACTCCTAGAGGAGAACATAGGCAAAACACTCTCCGACATAAATCACAGCAGGATCCTCTATGACCCACATCCCAGAATTTTAGAAACAAAAGCAAAAATAAACAAATGGGACCTAATGAAACTGAAAAGCTTTTGCACAACAAAGGAAACTATAAGCAAGGTGAAAAGACAGCCCTCAGATTGGGAGAAAATAATAGCAAACGAAGCAACAGACAAAGGATTAATCTCAAAAATATACAAGCAACTCCTCCAGCTCAACTCCAGAAAAATAAATGACCCAATCAAAAAATGGGCCAAAGAACTAAGCAGACATTTCTCTAAGGAAGACATACAGATGGCTAAAAACCACATGAAAAGATGCTCAACGTCACTCATTATCAGAGAAATGCAAATCAAAACCACAATGAGGTACCATTACACTCCAGTCAGGATGGCTGCTATCCAAAAGTCTACAAGCAATAAATGCTGGAGAGGGTGTGGAGAAAAGGGAACCATCTTACACTGTTGGTGGGAATGCAAACTAGTACACCCACTATGGAGAACAGTGTGGAGGTTCCTTAAAAAAATGGAAATAGAACTGCCATATGACCCAGCAATCCCACTTCTGGGCATACACACCGAGGAAACCAGATCTGAAAGAGACACGTACACCCCAATGTTCATCGCAGCACTGTTTATAATAGCCAGGACATGGAAGCAACCTAGATGCCCATCAGCAGACGAATGGATAAGGAAGCTGTGGTACATATACCCCATGGAATATTACTCAGCCATTAAAAAGAATTCATTTGAATCAGTTCTAATGAGATGGATGAAACTGGAGCCCATTATACAGAGTGAAGTAAGCCAGAAAGATAAAGACCATTACAGTATACTAACACATATATACGGAATTTAGAAAGATGGTAACGATAACCCTATATGCAAAACAGAAAAAGAGACACAGATGTACAGAACAGACTTTTGGACTCTGTGGGAGAAGGCAAGGGTGGGATGTTTCAAGAGAACAGCATTGAAACATGTATATTATCTAGGGTGAAACAGATCACCAGCCCAGGTGGGATGCAAGAGACAAGTGTTCGGACCTGGTGCACTGGGAAGAGTCAAAGGGATCGGGTCGAGAGGGAGGTGGGAGGGGGGATCGGGATGGGGAATACATGTATATCCATGGCTGATTCATGTCAGTGTATGACAAAAAGCACTACAATATTGTAAAGTAATTAACCTCCAACTAATAAAAATAAGTGAAAAAAATAAAAAAGGTGGGGCTCTGTAAGGTTGGGGATTGGACCAGAAGGTCTACAGTTAGCCAGAAATTGAGGTGAGGTCTGAGCACTAAAGACAAATTTCTTCACACTATCTCCCAGGCAAGGGAATATGTCCTGGGATTTCTACATGGGCTTGCAGGGGTTGGACAGTAGTCATATCACGTCATGGTATAGATTGCAGTAACCTATATTAGGTGAAACGTGTCACTGGCCCCTACCCCCAAAGGCAGTAAAATACATCAGATAATCACCTCTAGGCCACAACACTGTGGGATTAAGTGCATCTTACCCTGTGTGGCTTCCTTGGTGGCTTGACAGTAAATAATCCGCCTGCAATGTGGGAGACTTGGGTTCAATCCCTGGGTTGGGAAGATCCCCTAGAGAAGGGAATGGCAACCCACTGCAGTATTCTGGCTTGGGAAATAACACAGACAGAGGAGCCTGGTGGGCTCCAGTCCATGGGATCACAAAAAGTTGGACACAACTGAGCAACTAAGCTTAACAGCCTGTGCTATAAGCAGCTAAAAGCCTCCAGTGCACAGAAAGACTTACCCCACTAAAAGTCATGGGCAACACCTCCGAGAAAAGAATAGTGTTTGGAGGCTACGACCCCACACTGATCAGGTCACTTGTTAAGAATCTTTGGGATGGAACAGTTGGCTACCGAGGGTGGGGCAGGGAACGGGAATTGCCTCCTTGGTGCAGGCAATAAAGGGGAGCCTGGTCTGCAAACACATTTGTAATTAAACTTTTTATTTTTAGATAATTGTAGATTCACATGTAGTTGTAGGAAATAATATAGCTAGGTCTCATGAACCCTTTAGCCAGTTTTCCACAATGGTAACATCTTCCTTCTTGAACTATAGCACAGTGTCACAACCATGATTTTGTCATTGATACAGTTAAGATATAGAACATTTCCATCATCAAGTGAAGCCTCATATTGCCATTTTAGAGACATTCACTTCCTTCCTGTTACGAATTGAATGTTTGTGTCCCCCTAAAATTCACATATTGAAACCTTAAATCCCCAGTGTGATGGTATTTGGAGGAAGGGCCTTTAGGAGATAATTGAGTTTGGATCAGGTCATGGGGTAAAGACATCATAATGGAATTGTGCCTTTATAAGAAGATGAGGGTAACAAGTTTGTTCAGTCTGCTGTGTAAGAATACAGTAAGAAGGCATTTGTCTTCTAACCAGGAAGAGGGCCCTCACCATGAACCAAATTTGCTGACACCATGAGTTTGAACTTTCCAGCTTTCAGAACTATGAGAAATAAATTTCTGTTAAACCATCCATAAATCAGGGCTTCCTTGGTGGTCCAATGGCTAAGACTCCATGCTCCCAATGCAGAGGACTTCGGTTCAATCCCTGGTCAGGGAACTAGAACCCACATGCTGCAATTAAGTGTTCACATGCCATAATTAAAGGACCCTCATGCTACAACGAAGTTTGGAGGTCCAGAATGCTGCAACTAAGACCTAACACAGCCGAATAAATAAATAAATATTAACAACAACAAAAAGAGATAAAGGCAGAAATCAAAAATTGAAAATAGAAACTCAATGAAAACAAAACCTTGCTGTTTATAAAAATCAATAAAATTGATAAAACTCTAGCCAGGTGGACTGAGCAAAAGAGAGAAAACATAAATTACTAAAATTTGTAATAAAAGAGAGGATATCATTATGGGTACTATGGACATTAAAAGGATGATTAAGTAATAATATGGATAACTCTATGCCCATAAATTTGACAGCTTAGATAAAATGGACAAATTCCCTGAAAGATATAAACTAACAAGAAGTCACAAGAAACAGCTAACCTGAAAAGTCATATTCCTTTTTTTTAAAGATGACAAAATGACCATTAATTTCTTTTTGGGACTCTATGATTTCCGATTCTCAGTATATTGGACACAATATCAGGGACATAGCTGCAACCTTTGTTTATATTCACAATGCCTCTTTTCAAATCAGCCCTTGTCACTAGCCCTGAGATGTATTGTCCCAATGAGGCTTCACAATCCCACCTACACGTTCCTGTGAAGAGAATCCTTTTATATGTTCCATATAAGTTGTTACAGAATATTGAGTTGAGTTCCCTGCACTATATAGTAGGTCCTTGTTGTTTACCTATTTTATATACAGTAGTGTGCACATTAATCTCAAACTCCTAGTTTATCTCCCCCAACTCTGCTAGCCCCTTGGGTAACAGAAGTTTGTTTTCTATGTCTGTGAGTCTATTTTAATTTTGTAAATAAGTTCACAGACTCACAGACATAGGAAACAAACTTAAGGTTGTTTGATTTTTTTTCCTATTGAGTTGTATGAACCGTTTGTATATTTTGGAAATTAAACTCTTGTCATTTGCGTCATTTATAAATGTTTCTTCCATTCTATAGGTTATCTTTTCACTTTGTTTATGGTTTCCTTTGCTGTGCAAAAGCTTTTAAGTTTGATTATGTCCCATTCATTTATTTTTGCTTGTATTTATTTTGCCTTGGGAGACTGATCTAAGAAAAGATTGCTACAATTTATGTCTGAGAATGTTTTGCCTACATTCTCTTCTACGAGGTTTATGGCGTCATGACTTATATTTAGGTCTTTAAGCCATTTTGAGTTTATTTTGATATATGCTGTGAGTGTATGTTCTAACTTAATTGATTTACATGAGACTGTCCACCTTTCCCAGATCCACTTATTGAAGAGATTATCTTTTCTCCATGGCATATTCTTACCTCCTTTGTGATAGATTAATTGACTGTAGGTGTGTGGGTTTATTCTTGAACTCCTTATTATGTTCCACTGATCTACATGTCTGATTTTGCCTGCATGTGTCTAACATGTACCATTTGATGAATTTGGGCATATGTATACACACATGATGGGGCAGAGGTGGCTTAGTGGTAAAAATCTGCCTGCCAATGCAGGAGATGCAGAAGACATAGGTTTGATTTCTGGGTCAGGAAGATCCCTTGGAGGAGGGCATGGCAACCCACTCCAGTATTCTTGCCTAGAGAATCCCATGGACAGAGAAGCTTGGTAGGCTACTGTCCATGGAGTCACAAAGAGTCAGAGACAACTGAGGGACTGAGCACACACACAGACACACAGACACACACCCATGACACCATCACCATTATCAAAATAATAGATTTATCCAAAACCTCCCAAAGTTTCCTTATGTTCCTTCATTATTGTTTTTTATTATTTTTTTTCTATGTGTGTGGTAAGAACAGTTAACATCTATCCTCTTAC